CTTAGAGAGGGCTGAAAGCCCTATGAAGCGGTATATAAGTCGAACTGCTATTGCTATTGCTATGACAGCCCTGTTCTAGGCATTTTACATCCCTATTTCTGCCACAATCCTTTTCACATTGTGGAATATAAACCATGTTTTTTTTTTAATGGTCTTGTTTTCCTTTTCAGGATTCTGGAGATAAAGCCAGCCCTTTCCTTAATATTTATTGTGACTATGAGCCCGGCTCTGAATATAATCTGGATTCCATTGCACGTGAGTTTCCTCTGCCCAGCTCTGTTCTGGGTTGCCATCTCCCCCACTCCCCCTCCGTGTTTTTCCATCCCTGGTCTCTTTGAGGTTTTCCCTTTAAGAAAATGGATATAAGAAAAATAGGGAGAACCTTCATTCATGCATTTCCTGATTATTAAATGAAGCAGCACCTGACATTAACATTTTTTCCCCTTTGGGTTTTTTCCCAGAAAGCTGCTTGAACCTGGAATTGCAGTTCACACCTTTCCAGCTGTACCATGCAGAGTACGTACCTCAACAAACCTATCCAACCTTTTGCCTTCCCCTGCTGACGTTAACGCAGGCGTCACCATGCGGAAACGCCACACATCTGTGCTTATTTGTCATTTAGGAAAGGCAAGGAAGGACGGAAAGGAAAGGAAAGGAAAGGAAAGGAAAGAAGGACAGAGAAGGCGGGAGAGGAAAGAAAATGGGAATGGAAGGGAGAAGGCAGGACAAGGAAGAAAGGAAAAGAAAGGAGAATTCAAGGGGAGGGAGGGAGGAAAGAGGAAAGGAAGGAAGGAAGGAAGGAAGGAGAAGGCAAGACAAGGAACAAAGGAGGAGAAAGGAAAAGGTAAGATGAGAGGTAAGAAGGAAAGAAGGAAATAGGAAGGAAATGGAGGGAGGGAAAAAGGAAGGAAGGGGAAGGCAGGATAAGGAAGGAAGGAAGGAGAAGGCAAGACAGGGAACGAAGGAGGAGAAGAAAGGAGAATGCAAGACGAGGGAGGAAAGAAGTAGGAATGGAAGGAGGGAGGGAGGAAGAAGGAAGGAAAAAGCAAGATAAGGAAGGATGAGATAGGAGAAAGGAGGAGGTAAGATGAGAGAGGGAGGGAAGAAGGAAATAGGGAGGGAGGGAGGGAGGGAGGGAAAAAGGAAGAAAGGGGAAGGCAGGCTAAGGAAGGAAGGAGAAGGCAAGACGAGGAACGAAGGAGGAGGAGAAAGGAGAAGGCAAGACGGAGGGAAGAAAGAAGTAGGAATGGAAGGAAGGAGGGAGGGAGGATGGGGAGAAGGAAGAAAGGAAGGAGAAGGCAAGACAAGGAAGGACGAGATAGAAAGGAGAAGGTAAGATGAGGGAGGGAGGAAGGAAAGAAGGAAATAGGAAGGGAAGAATGGAAGGAAGGAAGGAAGGAGAAAGCAAGACAAGGTACGAAGGCGGAGAAGAAAGGAGAATTCAAGATGAGGGAGGAAAGAAGTAGGAATGGAAGGAAGGAGGGAGGGAGGGTGGGAAGAAGGAAGGAAGGAGAAGGCAAGACAAGGAAGGATGAGATAGGAGAAAGGAGAAGGTATGATGAGGGAGGGAGGAAGAAAAGAAGGAAATAGGAAGGGAAGGGAGGGAGGGAAAAAGGAAGAAAGGGGAAGGCTGGAGAAGGAAGGAAGGAAGGAAAATAAGTTATTCTCCAGCCAACGATGTTCATGGCCTTGAACTTGGAGATGACGGAAGCCTGCCATGACTAATGCAGTTCAGAGAAAACATTCGCTTTCTATATTTGTCCGCTTCACTTTCTGAGCTACTGGCTGTCAGCTGCACTCAGGATGCTTGAGTTCTCCGCCCAGCTGATGAGCAGAGCTCCCAAGAATTTTCTAAATTAAAATAGTTGGAGGTGTACAGCGGCTCCAAAGTTGTTACTATGGTTAAACTCAGCCTTGCTTCCTCTTCGATGAGCCAGTCCTTCATCCCTCATCGTGAGTCACTATCTTAGCCATGTCTCCTCTGAGATCCTTCCGGACTCCAGAAGGAACAAGGATCTGATCAGAAACACAGGATCATTCCTCCTTCCTTCCTTCCTTCCTTCCTTCCTTCCTTCCTTCCTTCCTTCCTTCCTTCCTTCCTTCCTTCCTTC